AAATTGGTCATTTGTTCTGGGGACTAGGCTCTTCGGTCTCTCAAATACCAGTTTATCGTTGGATGTGGTCTGACTAGAAGCTACCTAATTGCGTGCTAAATGTGAAGCGAACCAAAAGCTTTCCTTGTTTTTACAGGCTACTGACAGAGCTAATGCACATAGTAAGATGAAGGCTATGAAGGACCATCATAACCTGTTCTCTTATGGCTTTGAGTCTTTTGATTTTCTACTGTTTGAAGATGGCAAATGTATGAATCCTTTTCTGTTCTTGAGCTTCTAGTCTTCACGTTTGTTCTTTGCTGTTGCTCACTGAGCTAGTTACACAAATGCCTGATTCCCCCTTTAATAGGAGCAGAAATGAGATTAGCTCCTGTTTGTATAATACCTGTTCAAGACTCATGACCCTGTCAGTTTCAGGTGAAATTAGCTAGTAGGCCCAAAAGGAGAGGAAATACCTATTTGATATACATGTTACCTTAAATTTTTTTCTTCCAAATCCCCATATCTAAATAACTTTAGGGTAACAACTTTGCTCTTTATGTACTTGAGGTTAAAAATATGAACTACGTCTAAAACTTACTGAGGTAAGAATATGTTTAAGTAGCCCGTAAAAAATATTGTGTAGGATCCAGTTAACTGGCTTTAAAGTATTCAGGCTAGCTTGAACAGTCTTCTAATATTTGATTTATCATCCCATGTGTTGTAGTGACTAGTCCATAGATTCCTTTCTAAAAAGCTGGTTAGGCCTGCCTCTCTGAAAAACAATGAATTTATTTCATGAGGAACAAGAAGCTAGATTTTTACCTACGTACAAGATGTGTTTTTTTGTTATTGTTTGCTCTACTATTCATATGCAGAGGAAGTGGGAAAGTGAAGGTAAATTGTAAAAACGAGAATTTTTTTTGTGTTTTTAAGTAGAGGCCTAAAATGAACAAGTTGGAAATCTGATGAGAAATTTAAAGTAACTTCAAGTGAAATGTTTTGTAAGGATTTTAGTTTTTCAGGGGGATACTGAAAATTTTAATGGTGTTGTAAAGGTCTTCAGAACACTACACTAATATTACACTTGGAAAGATTTTGAAATATACAAGCTTGAGTGATTACAGTTCCTGTGAACTGCAGACTGGGTTTAATCATGGCCACTAATCCTATAGTGTTAAAAATATAATAGTAAGTATGTATCCCGTCTAAACTCGCTCACTCTTTTCCTAAATATTTTCTATAGGTGCATAGCTCCTTACTTACTAATTATTTTTGAGTCTTGTGTATGTATAATCTCCTTTATTTTAAAGTTAAGAATACTGATATTTTGTTTTCATTGCTAATGTTTCTATTTTCTTATTTTAGAATTAGCGGGCAGAGAAATAATAAACCTTGGTTTGGACTACAACTCTATTTCTAATACTGTTAACTAATATTGTTTCAAAGTGTAGGTGCTTTATTTTTGGCTCTATGTAAATTCTTATTTTTTGAATAATGACAGTCTTTGAAGGAGTTTTATATCGTAAGTTTGCCAATATTTTAGGAGTAAAACTTGGATTCCTTAAGCAAGTCAGTACTTGGTGTTCCAATTTCCACTAGATATCTGCTGTTCTGGGGTAAAAGTCAAGAACAAAGTGGGGTTTTCTGTTTGGGGTGTTGTGTGTGTGTTTGGGTTTTTGTGTGTGTGTTTATTTTTTTTTACCCTTGTTCTCTCTTTTAAAAACATGTGGGAACTTTAACCTGGTATGTGTTGCAGAATTTCTTTCTTCCCCTGGTTTGTGTTCAGATGCAAATTTTTTAACTTTCCTTCCAGATCTGGCAGCTTTTATTCTCAAAGGATCAGAATCATCACCTCTTTCCCCAAAAGATTTCATTTCTGTCATTTAGTTTTTGGATCAATAGCTATATGTCAGGACAGTAGGTTGTTCCATGAAGAGACATCTAAAAAAGTCAAGACTACATCTAAACCAAAGATTTATCTATCACATCACAGATAAAGGGCTTTCTTTTCTGATTATCTGATCTTTCTGCAGTCATCATTTGATTAAACACATGCCAGCTCCCAGTGATTATGGGAGACTGGAGCATGTGGAGATGAAGTGAGTGGACAAGGGGAAGCTGTTTCATATAGCCTCTTGGTATTTCCAGAAGACATTAAGTAAATTTCCTTAACTAAAGATTTTGAAAGAAACTAAAGAAGCAGATCCTCTTCCAAATGATTAATTAGTTAGAAGATAAGAAACAAAGATTCAGTTTTCATAGTAAAGGAAGTTCACCCTCCTGCAGGGAAGCCTTGCAGGAATTTGTACTGGGCCTCGTGTTGCCTGACATCTAGGAGGGAACGAGTAACTTTGCCCCAAGTTTGCTGGTGTTATTAAGGACAAACTGAAGGATTTGAGAAGGACCTTTCAAGAGGTGCATGAGAGAAGGAAATGCTTCAAACTGCATAGAGTGGTGGGGCTGCACTGACAATTTCTTGGCATTTTTGCAGAAAATTGCTTTTGTAATGCTTTCTTGATTTCTTACTGAGAGTTGAGAGTCAAATCAAGTGTTGCGCATTATTAGGAATAGATAATAAAAATGGTAATATGTCAAAATTTGTGTATATTCCCACATCATGAACAGTGAGTAGTTTCATCTCCCAAATCAGAGGGAAAGCTATAATAGAAATGGAAGAAGAATAGGGAAGGATGTTAGGGGGATCAAAGGTGTGGAATAGCTTCTATATGAAGAATGAATGATTCATCAACCTGAAGAAGGGAATGAGGAGGTATAGGATAGAGGTTTGCATAATCAGCAGCAGTATAGATAGGTTTGCATAAAGAAGCAGCAGAATGCAAATAGCAGAATGACAAGTAATGTGTAACTAAGAACTGAAAAATCATCAGATAGTACTTCAGAAAGATTATGTGTACTTGAGCTGTGAAACCCTGTAGGCTAGGACACTTATCCTGTGCTAACACTGCTTAGCACAAGATGCTTTAAACAAACAAAAAAAAGTACCCTGAACGAACTAATGAAAGACTTAGTGGTTCTCGGTGAGGTATCAAAAGATGTCATCTCTGACCCAGGAAGTCCCTGAGCTCACTTCCTGAAGCACCTGCTGTCAGCTGGTAGGTCACAGGACACTGGGTTAGATGGATTCTGATCTGATAGTTTCAGTCCTTTTTGTCTTGATGGCCTAAAACGCAATACAGAATGCTTCGTCATGACAACCTAGGGATCGCTTTCTGGATAGCTTATTAACTAATCTTTAGAAGATTGATTATATTTTGAGAATACCAGGGGTAGAACATCTTAGAATACAGGTAGATAAGCTTAACTGTCATGCCACTGCCCATGCGAAAAAAAACTAGGTGCTTATCTCATCTTGTGGTGACCTTTTCCCCCAACCCTTGTTAATTTTTTTCCTATCGAATCCTCAAATTGAGGGTTGAGTTGAGGACCATTTATTAACGTATAACATAAAATGTATTTTAAATGTTTTTAGCTTCAGGCGTTGACTTCCATAAATAACTTCTTAGTGGCTGTTTTCTTTGGTAACGTACTTCAATAAATACAGTTTGGGCAGTTTTTCCTCTTCCCTAAGAATGAAAAATTCTCCCCTCGCGTTCTTTTTTCCTGTTTGTCCTTGGATATTTTGCTGTTGCTAGTATGAGGAAAAGGATTTGGCATGTCTAACTTGGGAGTGTGGAAGTTGCATGTTGAAAGCCAATTAGGTCACCATAGGGCACCCTTCACGGACGAAAATAACTTTTGTTTTGTTTTTTTTAACTACAAGGTACTTAATGTTAAATATTCCTTAAATGTTGTTCTTCGCCACCTTGTATTTCTTCATGCTCGGTGTCTCTACTAATTATGATTTGACAGTAAAACGTCATTTATAGAATTATGCCTTAACTTTTGTATTTGCACATGCAATTTTATTGATGCCTTGGTGTATTCATATTTCTCTTTTTCCCTCCAAAATTGTTTGGGAAGTATAGGTTAATAAAGTAGCTGAAGCTACCTCATTTTCTCTGCAGTTGACTCAAATGTTAGCTTAGCGATGTTCCTGCTTAACCACTTAAGTAGAAAAAACGTTTTTCTAGCTTTTTTTGATGATGGTCAATTATCTGTCTTAGTTATTACTTGCAGACATTGGAAAAAATTGTTTATATTGAAGTTATCAGTATTTTGAAAGTCTGTTTCAATTTCATCTTCTGAAACTCTTGTACTTATTTTATATACATTAAACCAATTTACTTTATGCCATTTTGTGATAGGGACACCTGAAGTACCTTGTGGTACAGTAAATTTATTCTGACTGCCTCTAAACCTTTTCAGCAGTTTCTGCTCCAAGTTACTGGACGTTCCCCTCAAAGAAATAGTGTTGTGATGTGTTGTCACGTCATGTGCCTGTTTTTGCCTTGGTATGGATGTGAGACATGGTCGAGTAGAATCCTTAAAGCCGCGTGAGTGTTGGTTGTCCTGTTGTCAAACCAGTAGGATTTGACAGAGTTGCACTTGCGTGGCTCCTTATAAACCAGACGTAGTTTACCTGTAGCTGGGTGAGATTATGGGCAGAACAGATATGATTTGTCTGAAGTCAGCTCATATGGTCTTGGCCTCACGTTCTTCCATGACTGCATGATAACCTTTCTGGAAGTCTTTTTGAGCATCTCATTTGGAACCTCTAAAATAGACGTGGTTCTCACAATTATCTAATGTGGAAGGTCTGTTTTTATAAGGGTGGTGAATAGTGAGCATATTTAATACCGAGATCAAAGGGCTTTAATGACTTTTACCTTTAAATCTACACTATCTCATCTGCAGGATTACTACTTCAGAAAATATGACTTAAGCTATTAGTGCCATTGAACTTGCGCAGCTAAATTAGACAAGCATGAATCAGTATAAGTTCTGAGCACTGTTCTATGGGAATGACTTGTATGTTGAAGAGATACAACTGGTAATAAGTGCTTTGTTTGAGGTGTTTGTGTGCCTAAACTGAGTGCTTTGTTTATTTTTATTTTTAGCAGCACAGTGGAATGAAGTTTTCCATGAAGGGGGCTCATAACCATAATCAAGGCAATGGCTACAGTCCTGTCGGCAGTGGAGGCATGAGGCAACCAGTTGGTAACCGAGGACACCACCAATACAATCGTAATATATGGAGAAGAAAAAAACACAGAGACAGTTTGCCTATTAGTCTCAGCAGATAATGGCAAATGCCAAGATGACCTTCCCCAGTTCAGACTGAAACTGAGTGAGTGCCACTCGACTTGGGGGATGGAGACCAGCGTCCAGCACATTGTTTTATTGGTGTTGCCAAATATCTGCAGCTGACTTCTTTGCATGTTTCTTTGTGTGGTGGTTCGGTCCATCTTCAAGAAGTAGTTGTGCTTATCTGTGAAGCCTTATTAAATGTTTGTTTTTCTGCCTTCCCACAACGGTTCATCCAGTGCCGAAGCAGCTCTGCCAATAGAACTGCAAGGACATTTACCAATGCTGTGGCTTTTTTTGCTGTGGCTACATCTGTTCCTTTGTGGGTTTTGTTTTCTTTTATTTTAGAAGTGAAGGAAACTTCCGTCAGTTGGAATTTTTTTCCTTGCAGCAAATCCGGTTGGGAATTCATGAAAATAAATTTGCTGCTCTTCTATTTTTGTTTCAAAGTTCAGAATTTTTTGCTCTGTAAATATTGGAAGTATAATTTGTGCAATAACTTGGAATTTTTAATTTAATTTCATATTGTCACATAAGTTATATTTAAGGAGTTTTTTTAATTTACAGATCCTTTCCCAGGTTGCATTATCTAAGTTGGGTTCATAGTTTTGGCAGGTTGTCTCAGCAGTGTTACAAACATGACATTTGGTAATGTTCAAGGCTGCTTGATTCACAATGAAAGGCGATTTGGCTTACAGTTTTAAGAAGGTATTAAGCTCCAAAGCATTTTGACCCTGTGTTTTTTAGCTCATTGTCTGGCCTTTATCAGTTGTCTTGCTCTGACCAATGAGTTTTAGTTTATTCCTTTAACTAGATAACAAATCCAGCATTTGTAGTACCAGAAGTAAAACTTCCGAGGGGGAGGATGAAAATGTTGGTTTAAGTTCTGACGTAAAATTTAAAAGCTGTGAACTACATACTTTGATGCGTTTTAGTAATGTAACCTGTTAATGTTTGGGTTCAAACAACATTATGAAACAGAGGTACCCGGCTTAAGGAATGTGGAGAAAGGAAATATGTTGATTCCATTAAGGAATCTGTATAGCAGTATGCATTAGTTCTGTTAAGAGCAAATATATAAAAAGTACTTCAGCTGCTCTAAGCATTACAAGAAGTATCTTTTAATGTATTGCAGGAGAGCACAGCCCAGTGTTGTACACAGTATGAGTGGCTGGCACTTAATTTACAGATGCATACAGGTATACTATGCAAAGTGTGTATTGCCATGACAAACACTGTCTTTAACTTTTTGAAAAATGTACATCCTGCCTAACCCTGAGTTTTTAAAGCACCACAGTTGTCCTGGGAGTAGGTCACATCTCATGCCCTCTGACTTCCCATTTTTTTTTTAATGAGAGTTCTTAAACTGTACAGAAAACTACAGATCAGTTCTATCAAAGTCCGTTAGCAGAGAGAGCTGAAGAAAAGTCCTGTTAACAGGACATCTATGCTGTGTACAGTTCTGGAAGGTTTTAAAACTGATACCTGAATATTAAAATGAGGTGTCTAGTACAATGAAGCTTTTTAATATGCAGTATGCCCTTGAAGCAGGACTCGTTCATGTTATTACTGAATCTGTCAAATCCAAACAGGTCTTTGAGGGGAGAGAGGGCAACATTCCAAAGTAGAGTAGTGCATATCTGTTTGCAAAAAGTTTGTCTTAATGCTCCCGATTTCATCACAATTTTAAAAGATTGTGAGCTGACTCATAAATAATATTTAAGGGCTGTTACATGAGCCTGTACTGCTTGGTCTTCACACACTAGCAATATTGACCATAAAACTACATAAAAGAGCCGTCAAAGGCTTTAGTTGGTGTCTTATACTAGCGTCCATTTTAAAGCAAAATTCATTTAAAAAGTGGTATCATGTAACATTTCAGTCATGGTGAACCAAATAAATTGGCCTGGCTATCACTGTGGTTATGTGCTACAGGTTTAAAAAATCATGTTTAAATTTTTTTGTGTGGACAACTATGTGGAAGCTAAAATTGACATATTTTTATGTAAAGTTTTCTATTCTTTGATTTTTAATAAACTTTGGAGACCAGTCACTCTTCTGTACATCTTTATGAGAAAATTAATGGAAGATGTAACTTGACCATATCTTGTAGTTTAACGTGCACTTTGAATATCTACTTAAATTGTTCTTGCGAAACTCTTTCAGAACGAGGTTGGAAGGGGGATGGATACCCTCAGTAAAGCATGTGCTCTCCATATTGGTAAGTCCTTTCTTTACATGTTTAGAAAGGGAGTAATGCCAATAGCAATTGGTTTCATAGTTCTAGATTTGATCCTTTGGTACATGAGAGAGCAGAGGAGTTAGAGGTGATTCCCTTCGGTATACCTAAGAGAAAAGATTAACTAACTGATCTGTTGAGATACCTTAACCTTCCATAAACCTTCCACCTTCATCTTCTAAATTATTTTCAAAATCTTGGACCAGTTTTTAGCCTCTTCAAGGATTGGATGCATTTTTTTTGTTGTTGATTTGTTAACCTTCTGAGAGGATTGTAAAGTTTCAATAGCTATGTCAAATTTAAAATTTAAAATATTGAGTCTTTGGAAGAGACTTCCTGCTTTTTGCCGATTTATGCAACTGAAGCGTTTTAACAGACTGTGATGTAGTACTAGGGATTCAGAGACAGAGAGGTGTGTGATATTTGATCAGGTTTTTTTTTTTTTTAAAAAGTCCACTGAAGAATAATAGAGAAGCATTTATGCATTGGTAGTTTCATTGTGTTCCTTTGAAACCTTGTCATAAATAGTCAAATACCCACCTGATCTGTTCTTCATCCCTACTGATGGTGATTCTTTTTAGTATTCACAGGCAAAATCTGCCATGCTGTTTAGATGTGAAAGGAAGAGACTGCAAATTGGACGGATGAATATGGTCAGAGTATGGTGTGGGAAGAACTCGGTCGCCATCCTGCTGCACTTCCAAGAGATGTCGGTGCTAGTGTCTCATTGGAGTTTTCCTGTTGCTCTTTACCTCCTGTATCCACCTGGGTACTCAGACAGGGTAAGAAGATATGGATATATTGCCTGTTTGGTACAATGTTGCTTTCTTTCCACAGATATGGCAGTGGACAGCATCCTGAAAACAGAAGAGGAGAATGGACATAGCAGCAGCCATATATGGGCAGCATGGGCATATACCTCCAAGCTACGTGAACTCTTCCTCTGTCATAAGCACAACAACAACAAAAAGCTTAAATTGTAAATGCTAATAGGCGGCCAATAACTTGGTGTATATGTATGTGGGGGTGAATGTCGGAAGTTGAACTTGAACCGTCAAGCCTAAGTAGTCTGCTACTTGCTAAATGCAGCTGGTATGAGCTGGCTGTAAATTTTGTAGCACACAGACTAAACTGAAGTGTCCTGTCCTGAATCCTCCTGAACAGAGATCTGAGACAGAACCCCCAGTTAGGAGGCTGACCACGTGTTGTGCTTCTGCACATAAACTGTTACATAGATTGGGAAAAATGGGGGCTTGGGGGTAGGATTTCTGGAAAGATGATGTGCCAGAAAGAAGGATTCCTGAAAAGAAGTAATCTTAGAAACAAGAATGGGGCCTGGAAAGAAGAAGGCAAATATCCTGGTTGGCGGAAAGATTCTGGAAGTGGGGGGAGATCCTGGAGATCAGGTAGATGCAGAGAGACAAATGCTGGGGGAGATGCCCAGAAACCTGATGTGGTAACACCCAAGACTGGTATCTGTGAGCAGCTGCACAGCATGAACTTATTATAGCTTTCTGCCTAACTTTCCCAGACCAGCACAAGTCCCACTGCTGGGAGGGGAAGTTGAGAGCTAGTGAACATAATGCTGTCTTGGGGAGCAAGGGGATGAGTGTGTGAAATGATTAGAGCAAAAGCTCTAATCTTGTTGGTTCTTAAATTCCAGTATCCAGATCCAGTGCAGGTTATCATTTACTCCAATTCACCTGTAACAGAAAATGGTTTCAGAAGTGCAGTATTGAACCTTAAGTTCACAGCCTAGTAAGGGGGGGGGGGTCCTCCAGGAGCAGAATGTGTGTCAGTGTGCTGTTTTATAACACTGGTAACGTTTATATACTTGTGAGTCAACAGGTGCACAGCCTACAGGCCGGCTGGGGTCTATCTTCCTGGTGTGGGCCTCAACAGAGATTTAGTATGCCTGGAAGCCTTCTGCTTGTGGGTAGAAAGCACAGAAGCCTGCTGGAAGCTGGTTGAAGTCTGTTCAGCCGTGAGCAGAATTGTGCGTGTGTGAAGACCTTCAACGTGAACAATTTAAGAGGTTATGATCCCTAGCTTCAGTGAAACAGTGGATGCTTTATGGGTGAGTGTTTCACAATCTAGTCATCTTTGAGCAATCTTTGTGGATTAGCAGTGTAATTTCAGAGGACTTGTGAAATACTAAACACTTGTTGTTTCAGGATCAGAATCACTCACTATTTAATCAGACTGAGTCTTTCTTCTGCAAGAAGAGTGTTATTGAGATGAGTATGGGTAGTATTTGCACAGGAAAGGGTGTAGGTCGATTGGGAGCAGACAACAAACTGGTTCTATTTTATGAATGCTTCCTATTTTCACGTGGTTACCTCGTTCTTTGAGGAGAAAATGAATCTATTAGATGTCCACTATAGAAAAGAGAGAATTTGCTTCTGGAGCACCTACCTATGCAGAGATCAGGAAAAAGTGTTTTCGTTCCACAGTTATTGTTAAAAGTGATCTTGTTGGCATTATTTTCAATCTTCTGAAGTGTGAGGTCTCTGCCACAGTGAAATCAAGCAGTAGAACAAGTGGAGTAGTGGTACCACAAGTTAAATTTCCCAAGGTGTTTCCTGGCTTTAGCTAAGCTTTGATGGTAGTCCTGATTTGAGCTGGATATTAGGCTCGTAATTCCAGCCAATGTTTTTGTGAGCCTTATGCTCAGGCATGGTTTTAATCATTGCCAGACTTAGTGTCAGGGAGGAGTTTTCCTCTCTGTTAGAGTGGCAAATATATAGGATGTTTTACCTTTCTCTCCAGTAATAATAAGGGTCTTAAAAGGAGTTAAGTTTTGTCTCAGGCAGCCGTTGCCTGCCACTCCACAAATCTCAAGCTTCCAAACTTGCCTTTTATATGTAGCTAGAAACAACATATCTCTTTGAGATGACTTTGGAGAATCAGTCTAGCTTTGTTTTTTTGATGAAATATGTTTAGCCAAATAAAACGTTTTTGAAAAAACTGAAGTGGTGGTAAATTTTGTAGTTGTACTCACTAGAATAAGATTTTTCAAATTTTTGGTCCTTTTGTTGTCTGCTCATAAATGATCCTGGCAAAAAGTGACCCAAGGAAGAGAAAATGGATTGGGGGAACAGGGTAAGGGGCACTTAAACCTGTAGAGTATATGACATAAAAAGCTAGTCCTGAATTTAACATAGCTGTTGTAGTGGCAAGGAGAAGATTGAAAGGCATGGAACAAACATTCAGAACGGTAGGTTAAGGTATGTCATAACCATAACCAGTAAGGTCAGAGAAACATCATTCTAAGGGTAGAGATGGAGTGGGGAGCAGACTTTCAAGGTATCAAGCAGACTAGTTTTTATGACCTATGCACAAAACTACTTAAAATATTAACTACTAAGCATAAGCCATGAAAAGTTAAGAAAAGATAGACTTAAGAATTAATGTACTGTTACCTGAGAAACTAACGATGATAGAATATTTAAATACCTGAGGACATACATCAGTTCTGTGTGACTCCCATAGACTTCATTTATCTCGAGGCTTACCCCAGTCCACCCAGCTTTGACCAAGGAAAGCTCACCTACCACCTGGTGTTTGTTTTACTTTACATGGCTTCTATTTTTTTTGTGGGGGGGGGGGGGGGGGGGCTCAAAAGGTGTACTGACATAGTGTCTTCAGTCTTGGATCCTTGGATATTTGTTCCTATTTGGGGTGTGTTCATGCCTCATTAAGGCAGCAAGTTGATATGTAAGAGAAGGCACAGCAGGACTGTTTCAGTTCTCTACTGCTTTGCTCTGCTGCTGTGAATTTCTCAGTTGCTTAAGGAGTTACTCTTTGTTTCGTTTACTTATATCAGTTGCTCTTTCCCAGTGTTAGCCTTTCACTATCCTTGAGTGGTCTGTGGAGCCAACTCTGTCTTCCAGGGTGAAGTAAAAGTGTTTTCTACAGCCTTGGAGAGGAATATATTCCCACTAACGCTCAATTTAATGTTTGCTTTAAACCCAGAAGAGGGAGATTGGGAGCTTGAGTTCAATTGACTGCGACTTACTCAACAGACTGAGAGTCTGTTGTTCACATGGACTAGCATCTGAGTTTTTGATTTGTGTGTGTGTGGTGGTTTTTCTTTCTTTCTTATTTTTTTTAACGCTTTTCTCAAAAGTCTCTCAAGCACTGAGTGTTGGGACCGTTCTGAGATGTTTGTCTTCAAGAAATGACAAATACCATCTTTACCTTCTGCACTGACAGACCCCGGCACAAAAGATTGCCTTGGTTCCAGCTCCTCTGCTGAAGATGGTGGTGAAACAGCGTAAGCATAATGTTTCATGGCTCATCTAGCATGGCTGAGGCATACTGCAACAGCGACCAACCATCTCAGTTCCCAGAGCACTAGATCCTAAAGGTGGTTGTTTGAATCCTTAAGAATTTTGAAATTGGTCTGTCCCTGGGAATTTACTCTTTACAGGAAAATGGAGTAGTGGCAAAGCCTGAATGTTTTGCACCATCTGTATCTTGCGTATTGCTTTCTCTTCATGGTGAAACCATTTTGGATTCATTTAGCTTGCTCTCCTCTTTCTGCCTTGGAGGGCTGCAAGGTAGTATAGGGTCCCTAGGAAGACAGATTTCTGTCCACCTCCATTTCTTGTAGTGAAAACTATTGGAAGGGTTGTGTCTACAACAAATGTATGGGGAAAATCAGCTGTGTGCTTCTATTATGGCTGGCTAAAGTGATCACAGAATAACCACTTGAATTCTAGTGAAAAGATGATAGCACCTTTTCTAGAACATCTCAGTACTTGAAATATGCAAACTCTACCTAAAGGTCTGTTTACACTTCTTCCAAG